GTATAATACTCCCGGGTATTATACAAATTTTCGCAACTTTTTTTTCGAAGTCCTTATGTATAATACCCGGGTCTTTTGGACCAGATTTATGGGGAGGGTATTATACTATAGGGGGTACTTTAGTCAACCGTTTACGGTATATATATAATTTTTAACCAATTTTAAAATGCATGAAATTAGTTAAAAAAATAAGGTTTAAATAATTTAAAAAAAAAGATTTGTTTAAATTTTATGATTATAATTCTTTGAATTCAAAGTAAAAATTTTAAATGAATAATTAATATTATTAATATTAAAAAATAGATTTTATAAAAATTATAAAAAAATATTAAATAAAAACATATTCGGATATTTAGATTCATTTATATATAATAAAATCATTATTAAATTATAAAATTCTACATTTATTTCTTTTTTACTTATAAATAATATATAATATGCAAGATAAATTCATTATTTTGAATTTGAAGATCTAAAGATCACACAAAAATTTGCTACTATAGATAGATGCTAATAATATTCTTGAAGATAAAGGATTGTATAATCAGTACAGCTAATACAAAAAGATAATGAAGAGAATGAATAAATAGTACCTGTTTAATCCATTTCTTCTTCTACAGTTTTATATGTTTTAGATAATTTTTTATGATGGATTTGCTATTGAACTGTTTTCATGACAGTTCGTACTTTATGAAGTCAAGTAATATTATACAACTTTAATAGTAAAAAAGCGTTCTACAATGTATGCAACCTCCGTTATAATTCATAGAATAATATTCCTGTTAAATGAAGCTTAACCGAAAAAAAGCTTGAAAGTTATGGTTAACTAATGAGTTGCGACGTTTACAATGATTGTGATCATCGGAAAATTCATTTAAAAAATTTCTATTAGATAATTTCGAGGAAATTATGTTTAGGAGTCAAAGATATAGAAAAGAATTTATTAATATAATGTGAAGAAATTCGTCATAGTATATATATTCCAGGACAATGATTATCTGACAGGGGAAGATGACTGGATCGTGCCCGTTCTTCCCTTTATTAATTTTCCACGGCAAACCTTCAAACAAATAATAAATAATATAATTAGTAAATAAAGTTTAAGGAAAATTATCAAAAACCAATTCTTTAAGGGATTCAGCGACTTAAATAATGCTGATCATTGAATATATTGAATATATTTCACTTGTATTGCATGCTTCTCATCAAAATCCTAAATTTTCAATATGCATTGTCAAAATTCAACTTACCATATAAAAAAAGTTATATATCAAAAACTAACATATTACTCCTGAGTTACGTAACTGCGAATGAAAAATAAACTTATCACATTGAAAGTGACAAAAGTTTCTTGAATTTTATAAATTCAAGGAAAATTGATAAAAATAAAATAAAGTAATAAAAAAAAAAAAAAAAACTACGGCTCCGCATTTTATAAAATTAAATAAATAATTCCAGATATAGGATGATCAGCCAGATACTGCGACGCTTTGTACACGTGATTATTTATGTATAGCCATAAGCTGAATCTTCAAGGTCTCGACATTTAATTGAAAATTCAGTAACGATTTCGTGAAAACGTTTAAGAGTTCTTGTACTATTCAGAAATAAAATTATTTATGTATCAGCAATAAATAACATAAATTAAATGTCAAGAATTTACCTTAGAATTCCTTTAGCAAAGTTTTGTTTGGTCATTTGATTCACGTGTGGTGAAGGGAAATTGTCCTATACAATACAATTATTAAATTGAGAATTATTTCTTAAAGCGTATTATCGTAAATTTTACCTGTGCTAATAAGGTTCTCAACCATTCTCTACTAGCTTCGATGTAACGTCCTATCATCTTAAATAAAACTTGAGACAGTGAAATAACAAATGATCGTGGTAATTTACCTCCAATTCCCTATTTTTAAAATAATATTCATTAAAAGATTAAAGTCATGAGATATATATATCTAAAAGAGGAACACAAACTGTTTACCAATAACAATTCTCTCATTATCTCTAATCCATATGTCATCATAACATTTTCAATTCCCGCTGCCAATTCTTTATCATCATAATTTTGTCCTACGAATTCTCCCTTTACGTCATGATAAAATGAGCACAATAATATATATGTTCATGATAATCAAGGTCATTGCTTACCATAAAATTCGCCGCAGAATTCGAAGCTAATCTTTCCTGTAAACCCAGGCCTGCTACAGAGAATTTCATAATACTATTAAACATATCAGATTGTAAAGAATATAATATTAAAGGACATTTTTTAAGGATCTATTTATAGAATACATGAACGATAAATTAGTATTATAATACAATCATTTTATAGGTTGAAGGTTTTTAGGAATCAAATCATACTTCTGTGAGTAGCATAAAATACGAATGAACAACATCCGGATATTGATCCATCTCTAATATAATAAGATAATCAATGCAATTAAAATACGTATTCAATAGAAGATAATTTTTATAAAAAGAACAAATTTACCAGTTTGATTTCTAATATTTTGTATAGTAGTAGAAGTTAAGGAGATTAACATATCTCTCAAAGCGACGCTGTGTTTCGAACTTGATCCGTTTACAATCACTATTTGAACTGCAATTTCTAACCAATTAGCGTGTGGATGTCGTTGGAAAGAAATTTGAATTAGAAATACGATCACTTCGAAAGGCATGGAAAGCAAATGTGGTGTAATACGAATTCCAGTATTAAGGAATTTGCAAAGACACTAAATAATTAAATGAATATTAAATTCGGACAATTATAACAATAATAATGAGAAAGAAGTATATGTGATAAAGATACCTCTACGACTTCACTATCTTGATACCAAATTTCTGCAATATCACGAATAATTTCTGATAAAGTATTAACCAGACCTTGAGCTGGTATTAAATCAAAAGCAAAATGATTTCGTTTAATTTCTGAATCACTTCCATCAATTATTATTAATTCTTCGTCGAGTGGTTGAATACCACGTCCACAACATGTGAGATATTCTAACTGTGTGATAATTATTTCCCGAAATTGAGGAGGATTCTAACAATGTGGAATATAAAAAAAAAAAAATTTAGAAAGAATTAGGATATTGATTACAGATGACCATATCTATTACTCAAACCTGTTTTCCAAGTACTATAGCATCCTTCATTGTTTGGATAATATCTCTCGTTATAGTCTATCAAAATAAATTAACGTAAGAGTTATTTCTCTGGTCATGTGAATATATTTTACAAATTAATTTACCAATAATGGTTGTATCATTTTTTCCGGAGGCAAAACCTGAATTACATCTGCTATTGATTCGATGACCTTTTGCTTTTCCCTTGGCTAAAATAAAGTAAAAAAAAAATTAGTTTATATTCAAGACAATAAAATTGGTGATATAATTATAGTGTAAGAAACGTACTTCAATGCTTGGACCAACTACTATATAAATATTAACTAGATCTTCTATACCATTAACTAATGAATCACGACAAATATCACAAATTTCCTTAAATGCTGTTGCAGCTGCTAAAGCGAGTTCAATATCGCTTAGTGCGGGAATAAGATAATTAAGTGCAGATAATAAGTATTGGGGGTTATTTTTGAACCATTCTGCATAAGAACCTTTAAGAAAAAAATTTCAAAATCAATAAATGAATGATACGTTTATCAGAATTGATTTTTTTAAAAAAATAAATCGCAATACCAATAAGTGAAAGTGCAGTGTTTCTTAGCTTTGAATGACCTTGTACTGGCAATACTCCATAAACTTCTGCACCAAAAAGTCGTGATAGATAAATGTTTTCGCCATGTTCTATAGCCTCGGCTATTGATTTTATACAAAATAATGTAGATTCTAAATCCTAGTACAAAACATAATTACTAAATTTTACGATAATTTAAATCATAAATTTAAAGTAATCAGAATAAATTATTACCTGCCACTGACTTGGATCTCTTCCTGGTGCATTTATTTGAGATATGGCTAATTCTATTAGAAAATCCAGCATTTGGGATCGCAATACGTAATAGGCATTCATTATTGTATCACCAACATCCCTTCGATGATGCCTAAATCGTTCTTTTAAATCTAAATAATTAAATAATTATATTTAATTAAGCAACGAGCTATATACTTTATATGTAATAATATAATAATAATAATTGACACCTTTAGACCATTCTGCCCATTCAGAATCTGGCGGATACTGTACTTTACACCGTAAAACCTCTATTAGTCTACGAAAAACGACCATAGATGATTCTCGTATTTGCTGAAAGTCTGAGAGTAAAATATTGGGTGTTTCAGCTTCTGATACAGAAGTATTATTACCAGATGCATTAGGAATGACTGGAATTACTTCTAGATCGTATAAAGATTCTTGTAACATAAACCAGAACTGCAAAGGCATCTCACTAATGTACATTGGTATACTACGTTAAGAATTATGCATAATTTAAAAAGAAAAAAAAAAGTAATCTGAAAAATTCAAGATAAAAGGATATTTCTTGATCTTGTCCAAAGTAGCCAGGAAATCCTGCAAACATTAACATCATTTCTAAATAAACAGATATATCTGGCCTTAAAAAATTAATTGCAATATAATTAGTAAATTGGTCTCCAAAGGTTGTCATCAATCGACAAAGATTTCTTGCAGCAAGTTCATCTCTATCTGATAATATTATTAATATAAGAACAGTTTTGAAATTAATGATTTTACTTTATCAAAATTTTTTCTTTTATAAAAAAAATAATGCTCTTCTGTAAATTAATATAACATTGCTTTAACCTATTTTCTGGATTTTAAGTATTACCATTAATAGCTTTAGTTATTTGATTTTTTGCCCAGTCACTAGTAATACAATGAAGTATTTTTTCACAAACTGTATTCTGATAGCTAGTAATACGAGGTTGTGAAATAAATTCCACTAAAACTTCTGTTGCCGCCTCATTAGTAGATTCAAATTGGAATGAAGTTATGACATGATCAACGAGAAGGAAAAGCGTTCTTTAAATAAGATAATGTAATCAAGTCGTGAGTATATTAATAATTTAAATTTGCACGATATAATAAACATTGTACGTTACTCAAAGGGTACTCCATATAGGATCCAGCTTTGCAAACATCGAAGACATTTTTGTTTTAGTATAATGTCCCGTTCTGCATATCCATGATGATTAGATAATATAGTCTTCAGTATTGACATCACGCGTGGAATTGAATCAATGAGTTCCTGATTGACTTTTACTCTTCATGTTGAATAGAAGAATTATAAATTAAGTTTGTAGCTAATTTTTAAAAATATTAATTAAAAATTTTTATTACTTTCTTTCTCCTATTAAATCAGCTCTTGAAACCTCCTCAGGAACAACTGTTAAAAATTCAAGAAGCGGTAATTCAATAAATAGAACCTGCCCCTGGTTTTGTGCCCTAACAGCCAAGGATCCGGTATGTAAATAATCAAAAAAATCTGATATGAAGTTTGACCAAATTTCAGGAACGGCTTGAATTGCAAAGGCTGTAAGCTTTTTTTAATTTAACAAAAATTTATCATTAATTCTATGAATTATAATAAAAATACTGTTATATATAGCAAAACTTACAGCTAGACATAATTTAGTAATAACGACCATTGGTCCATTAGAAAGACGCAAAATCCATCCTAGAAGTTCATTTCGGACCCATTCTTTTCGGTCAGGAGGTAAAGTATGCCTTTAAAAAAAAAAAAGAACGAAAATTTCACATAATATAAAACATATATTTGAAAAAATTTGATAATTCATTTTTATGATTCTTTATTAATAAATTACAAATACAAAAAAGATGTAAGTCTATATAATTAATTTCTTATATTCTTTCGTATTCTTCTTACCAGTCTCTTGATATTTTAACTTGAAAAGTGTGTGCCCCGAAGAATTGAGAATTAACTGACTATATAGTCAGATAAATGTAACAATTTACTAGATTTGTTCTACTGCCCTCCCAAAAATTCACATCAAATTGACTAAAATTAAATCTATTAACTCAATAAAAAAATGTTAATCGACATAACCTCAGAAGCCAATAATTGAGACGCTAATTCCCAAGCATAATGTTGCTTTTGAAGGTTATGCAAGTATTCTTGCGCCGACTTAGAAAACTGAGTAACAACGCCTCCATAAAGTTGTGCTATAATCTTTTGTTTAAAAGTTTAATAAATATATTATTGCGCTTTACATATTTAAACGAATTCAGAAAGAAAAGATAAAATAAGTACTTGTTCAACTTGTGCTAACGAAGGTGGTTGAGCGTCCATATCTAAAGTAATTAACGAACAAGCAAAAAAAATTATTTTAGTTTATATAAATTGGCAAATGTCACGGGATAACGATCGACAAAATAATATATAATAAATATGATCACATGATATGCAGTTCAGAACTTCACAACGTAATTTCAATATTTTGGTCAAACTAAACAGGCGAAAATACTAAAGGAGAGTTGTTCATAAGGTAAGAAAATGTTTTGCATATTGGGTTAGCTTGGTGTTTATTAATAATATTAAGACACGTTTTATTCTTGTGTTAAGGTGTAAATTGAACAGTTTGGCCAAAGAAAACAAGGAAAAACTTAGGTAAAGTTATTCAGTAAATATTGAAATTTTTATGTATTAAATTTTATAAGGCTAGCTTAAATAGTTATGGAGTTATGAATTTTTTATAATACTAAGATGCGGTTTTTTAGTAAAAAATTTAGTGGTAATATTTAATTTTAATAAAGTGTAATTATTAGTTTTGACATTGTTTTTGGACTTTTTTGGCATTAATTCAAATAAATTTTCACTCAATAAAACTTTGTATTTTCATAAACTGAAACTTTTAATCATTATGAAAAATTAAAATAATTTAATTATTATTTTATATTTAAAAGTTTTGTCTATTTATTACTATTTAAAAATACATAAAAATACATGTAATTTTTTGAAATATAGAATATTTTCATTTTTTTTAAAAGTGCAAAAAAATTTTAAGTGTGTGTAAAAATTTCTAATATAAAAGTTATACAAAAATATATGGTTGATGATGATTAATTTAAATCAATCATATTTGAGAAAAGGAGGAATCTAGAATAAAGGCTTACATCCAGAGTACAGGTTAAGGAACCTCTATAACAAATATTGATTTATATCATTTATCAAAAACAAGAATAGGTTTATTTTTCATTAGATGATGAGTTAATCATTTTTGTTAGCATATTTAATAAACAAGTGGTGAAGAAAGTATAGTCATTGAAGAAATTTCTTAAGATCAGTTGCATATGAAATGAAATATCAGCTAATTTATATGTCACTACTTCCTCAATGCTGTTAAGAAGGGTTTAGATATTACAGTTACACCTCGATATAACAAAGTTGCTGATCTAGTCAATCAGAACTTCATTATAAGAATCTTCGTTAATGTTATAACGAATTATGCGGAATGTATAACGAATAATTTGTTACAGTAGATGATTACTGATTTTATTATACAAATATAATTTTACTATTTCTAGAAATATTTTCACGTTATTAATCGTTGAATGATAGTTTTATTAATTTACTTAAATTTTTTTTTAAAAAAATTTATTTTTTAAAATAAATAAAAATAAAATAAAAATAAAAACGAATTGAAGAGAAAACTAAATAAGATGAAAAAATGAAATTAAGAAACTGAAATGAAACTATAAAACAAAATTAAGTGAATGAGACAAAATAAAAAAATAAATTAAATAAATGAAAAGAAATTATAAAATGAAATTAGGAAAATGAAACGAAATGAAAAAAATGAAATTAAACAAAAGACATATGAATAATTTGATAATAATAATGTTAAGATTTTGAATTAGCCATTATAATCACCAGACTTAAATCCTATCAAACATCTGTAAAATGAAATTGAATTAATCATTGATTGTGACAGCTTTCTGATAATATTACTAGTGCAAAAGATTTATAAAATAAGATACAACTGATATGAAGTCAAATGGATACTAACTTTTATTTGAAACTAATTGATATAATGTCACAAAGAATTAAAGATGTATTTAAGGCTAATAGAAGATATACAAAATGGTAATAATAATCTTAAAAAGTTTTTGATTGTAGTTGATTAGCAACAAATCAAAGAATTTTATATAATAAGTTTATTTTTTATATATGCCAAAAGGATTATTTTACAAAAAAAATATATAACGTAAAATTTTTTAAAAATTTACAAAATAAAGTAGCAATTAAATTTAAATATATTAAAAATAAAGTCACAGACTTTAAAATTGTTTAAAATTTTAATTTTATTATTATTTAATTGCATGGATATTATGATTTGAAAATTTAAATGAAGTGGAATAATAATTATAAAAGTCACTGTATGTAAAATTATTGAATTTTATTCTAAATAAATACAATTTTTTTTATAATTAAATAATAATAAATTAATTTATAATTTAGAATATTAATCTATAAATTTTTAGTATAACTTAATTTTAAAAATAATAAAATTTATAATATTAAATTTTTTTAAGTTAAATTATATACTTCTAATTTATTATATTTAAATTAGTATATTAGTAAAATATCCTTTCAAATATATTTCAAGCAAATTTGTCTATAATTTTATTTAATAATTAAAATTATTTATAATGATTTTATATATTTTTAAAATAATTTATTTAAAAATTAATAAATTTTATATTTTCTAAATAAAAATATAATTAATTAGTAATATTTTAACATTAAGTTAAAAAATTTTAAACTTATATATTTTGCTATTTATTAATCTTAGAAATATAAAAATATAATTATTTAATAAGTCTTAATAAAATAAATTCAATAAACTAAATTTTATTTTTTTATGATTATTAGATAATATTATAGTCAGTTCTTTAAGATGCTTATTGAGTGATAAGCAAAGTATTATTTATTAGTGATAAACAGAAGGTATATTTTGTAATTAGATTTAAAAGTGTATTGGTCAATTAACAGTTTATTTAATAATGATAACAATGGAGTACTGCCTCAGTCAGCACTCTGTACTGTACAATTATGTTAAGGGTATTAAACTAAACTATTTAATAAAACTATTTATTTGACATACTGCTAAGCTAAAAGAAAATGTCCTTTATTTATATAAAATGAAATACATAAAGTTATTGAAGATATAAAAGAAATAATAAGATATATGAAATAAATATAAAATAATAAATATATAAGATAAATAAAATAAAATAAATAAATAAAATATAATATATAAAAGAAATATATATCATAAATAATATAGAAGACTTATAAGACATATATGATTTTTTAGGAATCGATATTATTCTTTTGATCATTATTATTTATGTTTTCTTCTGTGTAATAATAATAAGTTATTTTAAAAAATTAAAAATTAATATAATTATTAATTTTAAAAATTTAAAATGCTATTATTAAATATATAGTATTTTAATATTAAGTCTACATTTATTCTGAAGACCATTTTGCTGAATAGATAATTTTTAAAAACTTTAGGCAAAGTTATTATAATATAAGTCAAACTTTTTAAAAAAACAACTTTCAGAATAATATATTGTAACATAAAAAATTTAATAAACTTTATTTTATCTTTTTTATAAGAACAGTAAGAACTTTAGAATCTGATGAGAAAGAATTGGTTAATGATTTTATTATTAATAATTTGAATGT